GCTGACGAATACATCTTTAAGATACCTAGAAGCCAAGAAATGTCACTCTTGCTTTCCCAGATGTGAGTTCTGCATGCAGGAAACATATGCATGAATATATTCATTTAAGTGTATCTGGATCTAGATGCAAAGGCTCATTCCATCTGAAACAGCCAAAGCCTCTTCATTGCTGCCATGTCTTCAACCACTTTGACCTTTTGCTCTTATGTGTGAGCATAAGAGCAAAACCTATTAGACTACACAAGACTCTTTCTAGAACTCTTGGCTAATTTGGCCAAAGGATTACTAAGAAGTATGGTTAAGGAGCTCTTTAAACGCATGTATGGTATTGAGGAAAAACATGCATATTTTTCTTCCTCTTTCACAGATGGGTCAATGAAAGAAGCTAAATAATACTTCACAGAGCACCAAGCCTTCAGTGGAATTCAATTCGTGGATGACCACTAAGAAATATTGCTCTAAAAGCCAATTAAATGGTATACCCCTGTTTATGGCTATTGATGTTTTTAAATGAGAATTCATGCAGCTGAGTGCTGTTGGAACCATATTCAAGTTTACTATCTGCATCTGGCTGGCCACTGTAAAATAAGGTATAATTAACAACATTTAAAAGAAATAAAATTCACAAGGGAAGAAGGAAAGCACAATATATTCCCCCTTCTGGATATTTGCATCAGCAGAGGAACTGGACCAAAAACCCACATATGATAACAATTAGTCCATTTATTTTTTTCTTCAAAGATTTTTTTTTGTCACATTATTCTAAATAGTAGCTAGAATCAAGAAATACAGACTTGGAGAAAGGAAGTTGGCAATATGGTAGCGTGTGCTGCCAACAATATCTTGTTGCAATCTTGAACTCATGTCAAATAATTACTCAGTTTGATTGGTCTGCCAATATTCTTCTGAAATATTAATCTAGTCTAGGCTGTCTTTAGAAGAGCATATGAAGGCCGTGGCCAGCGGGGCCTTCTATCAGGTTCGCCTGATACGCCAGTTGCGCCCCTTTCTAGATTGGGACTCCTTACGCACGGTCACTCAAGCACTCGTCACTTCTCGTCTGGACTATTGTAATGCTCTCTACATGGGGCTCCCCTTGAGGTGCACCCGGAGGCTCCAACTGGTGCAGAATGCGGCCGCGCGAGGGATTATGAGAGCGACGGGGCGCTCCCATGTGACTCCTCTCCTGCGCGAGCTGCATTGGCTTCCGGTGACATCCGGGTGCGCTTCAAGGTGTTGGTGATCACCTTTAAAGCACTCCATGGCTTAGGGCTGGGGTATTTACGGGACCGCCTTCTGCCACCAATTGCCTCCCACCGGCCAGTTCACTCCCACAGAGAGGGTCTCCTCAGGGTGCCGTCGGCCAGATAATGTCGGCTGGCGACCCCCAGGGGGAGAGCCTTCTCTGTGATGGCGCCTACCCTCTGGAACAATCTACCCCTAGAGATACGAGTGATCCCAGACCTCCAGACTTTTCATCGGGCCCTTAAAACCTATTTCTTTCAGTTAGCCAGGCTGGCCTGATTTTATATTGGTTTTTAAAATTAATACTGATTTTAATTGAAATGTTTTAAATTATGGGACAAACTTTATTTAATTATTTTAAAATTATTTTAACTTTTGTGTACAAATGTTTTATTTTTGGCTGTTCACCGCCCTGAGTCTGAAAGGAGAAGGGCGGTATAGAAATTTAAATAATAAATAAATAAATAAAATGATGTGCCAATCACCCTATAATTAAGTTATCTTACTTCAATCAGCACTACTGTTCTTAATCCTGTCTCTTGTCCTTCTTTGGGGCATATGCATTTTAAAAATGTTCTTTCCTTGAAAACAATCATATCAAGAAAACTAGAACAAAACATCAAGCTGAGGCAGCTACAGTACAGATGATTTTGCATTTTTCTGGTACAAAAGCCAGGGGTGGGCTGCTGGGGGTTTGCAGGGGATTGGGAGAACCTCTAGCTAAGATTCTGTGCAGTTCGGAGAACCCCCAAATCCCACTCCTGGCTAGCCCTGCCCACCCCACCCCGCCCCTCCCAGGAGTACCCACGCGGCCTGTTTTGGATGCAGATAAGTGCAGGGCGCATATGGAGACTCGGGGAGGGCAAAAAACGGGCCTACCAGAAGTTCAGGAAGGCCAGAAATGAGCCCATTTCCAGCCTCCAGAGGGCTTCTGGAGCCTGGGGAGGCCGTTTTTGCCCTCCCGGAGGCTCAAGAAAAGCCTCTGGAGCCTAGGGAGGGCTAAAACACCCCCCCCACCATGGTGCAGGAGGCCGACTAGGCCACACCCACCATGGCCATGCCCACCCAGCAACCAGGCAGAAAACCCCTTGCTAAAATTTTTGAAGCCCACCCCTGAGAAAAGCATCCAGTGAATCATTGCAACAAATAATTTCAGTAATTGATTCTTCCTTTTTATTAAAAGAAAAGACAGGGAGGAGGTATAATGACAACAGTGCCCTTCTACTTTTAGCCAGTTTGCAGCCAGCAAAGGTGGTAGAACCTGTTGGAGTGCACCAACAAAAGCATTCAATTCTCATGGTGTCATTCTTCATATAGATAACTAGGATTTGCTTAGGTGTGGCATTTTATTTACCCCTCCCTCATTTTCTTGTTCTCGGTTTCTGATAGGATTAGATTATCATGTGATTTCTTCTTTGAACATCTAAAAATAAGCAATACCTTTTAGTCCTGGGTTTTTCAAAACATACAGAGCAACACTGAGCAAATAATGAGTTTTGAAGGAGATGCTGTTTAGCACAAGGCCTCAGCCAGTACAGTTGGGATGACTTGAATACAGCAGTGGCTGTTGAATATAGCAATAAGTCTCTATTCTCAGCTCCATTTGACAGTAAGGATGGATCTGTTTGACAGTAAGGATGGACTGATAGGAAGAGGTAGACACACATCTGCAGTAGAGTTTGTTTCCTGCTCATTGTATTGTAAGAAATTGCTACAGTAGTGACTTCTTAAAAAAGGTTTTTGAAATAATTTAGTAACAGATGCACACTTAAAGTTAAAATTGCCCTGGAATTCCAAAACAATTCCACTGTGGTCCAGTATTTAATCTCTGCCCTTCTCTCAGTGTGCCACTATATTTAAAAAAGGATTAATTTGAAACAGTATAAATGATAATAATTAATTGACAGCAACATGTACACCAAATAGATCTCCTGAAATAATTTTGTCTGGTCTTTGGTGATTAAAAGTTTGCTGATGGTTGCACTGAGAAACATGTTTTAAACCTGTCTCTGACCTGATTCACATTTTGTACACAGCATTCACAATCCCTTCTTTTCTCCTCCTCTAGTGTGGCTGACAGATCAGAATTATTCGCTTTTATCAAATTAAGCACATTTGATAATTATATTGTTTCAACCCAGCCGCGATTAATAAAAAAACATGCCAGTTTTGTAAACATTAATCATAGTTCATCCATGTTGAGGTATTGCCATGCTGCAGTTAATGCAGAAAAAAAGCTAAGCTTTTAAATTCTTTTTTTGCAACCATTTCGAGAAGTGATGGGCCACTGCGTTCACTCTTATAACATTGACCCATAGCTTAAAATTATTGTGACAGTTTTTTGACTGTACATGGGACAGCAGCCCACATATTTTGATTTCTTCTCTTTTCAAAGAACATTATCTAATGTTTTTGCAATGTCTCCTGTTCAGTCTTTTTTTGTTGACATCATTTATGTTTGGAATTACCGCCCAGAACAATTGCAAGATGCAAAATTCTCTTTCTTTCCTTCCTTCTTTTTATCTTCTTTTCCTCTTTTCCCTCTTAAAAATTCACAATTCCCAGGAGACCCTAAATCTCCATACCTTGTTAAGGGAAATAGGCATTGAAATAAATGCATATTCTCCCCAATTTATTCTTATGTCCATTTGAATTTCTTATTCTCTTGTTTTCCCTACCCTGAATTTCTGGGGGGCAAGAACCTATCTTCATAAATTAGGTCCCATCAATACCAACGGCATCATACCATTATTTTCCTGCCAACTGAGCCAAGTTTATTATGCAATGCAGAACAAAGTTATTAAGGCAACTTAAACACATTCAGTCTCTGGTCTATATGTATATTGCCAATTCATGTTAAATTAGAATGTTGTCTGTAGATTTTAAGCAAACATGCTGCAGCCATCACCACCATCATCTTTATCACTATCATCATCATCTCTGAAGTCCTATCACCAAATCTACCAAATATCATCATCATCATCATTCTAGCCTTGTCTATCCACTGCAGGATGAAGGCTTCTTCCGCACGTTTCCAATCAATACAGTCTTGAGCTTTCCTTTGCCAGTTGGGCCCGCAATACTCTATATATCACTAAAACGTTCATTCCTATAACCTTCAGCTGGGTGAAATGCTACATTGTAGAGCGACGGTTTTTGAACCTAGGTACTTAAATATGCTAACTTACAGAATGCATCCAAAAGCTGTGTCTGTGAACTCTGATTCCAGTGGAATTGAAATTTGGCAATTTTATAAAATTTTATGGCATAAAGCAGATAATACAAAATGACACAAATAATTTCCTATGCTAATGTTTGACTATGCTCCACAGTTCAAGATGAGCTATTTTTAAGGCAGGTACAGCTCTGAACGTATCCCAGGTAGCACATTAGAAATTAGGTCACTGTAGAAGGCATTGAAGAATCTGGTAAGGAAGTATCTGTGATACGGATTGTTTAATAGTGGGATATTGATAGCAATATCAATATTGATATTGATAGCAAAGGATATTGATAGGATATAGATATTGATATTCAAATACAAATGAATTTATTCCATTGCCTAACTAATTCCTTTGTTGTCTCGCATATTTTCCTTCATTAACATTTCTGCCTGAGGCAGGAAAACATGCAGTTCTACCACTGAGTAAACTCTGCAGTACTGACATCTGTTAGGCCAACTCCTCAATCATTGCTCCACCTCCACATATTATGGAGATGACACTTTGTATAAAGCACTAGCAGCAACAATTTGCAGCCAACTGTAGGTTTGAGTTCTTCTTGCTTTCCTGCTCCATCTCCAAGAGACAAAAATGCAGAGACCTACTGGATGTCCAGTTACTGTAAGTCTAAGTTCATACCTTCTTCTTTTTCTTCTCCTTATGCAGTAGACAACTTGAATAGATCTAAGTGTAGAGTTACATTTCTATACATTTCTGGAATTGTCCTAGCATCTTAATTCCAAACCCATCGAACGTAAAAATGCCTGGGGAAACCACATAGATTATAAACAGGAATAACAAACAAGTAAGCAAGCAAGCGAGGATTTAGGATAGAGTAATTCTAAATAAAAGATATTCCAAGACAGCTTTCAATTTACAAATCCTATAGCACCAGACACCCAGAATTTTAAAAAAAATGTAATTTGTGCTCTTTAGTGAATAAAGTTTTCATAGAATAAATTTTTTGAAAAAGGATGAAAGAATCAACTCATATACTCTTAGCTCTAAGTCCCCATTACAGTGAGAATCAACCCTGTATTTTGGATTAAGCCTGCAATTTATTAAATACCTATTCTCTCAAAATATGCACTTGTAAACCTATTTTTATATGGCACTCTATAGTACTTCTCGTATACATTCTGTGTTTCTGTTTGTTGATTATTTCAGATGGTATAGATCAGGTTGGATTACTTTGAAATACAGACTAAACAAAATCCGTGAGCAAACCTGGTAATTTTTAAGCTATTATTATGACCCACCTGTTTTGGAATACAGTCTTTCAAGTTTCAGGGAAATCTCTGAGATAAGATTCAAAGGGAGGCATATCGCTGGATTCTGCTTTCTTATCTTTAACAGCCTTTATGCATTTTTCCCAGCAAAAACATTTATATAACATTTAGATTTCTAAACCAGATCTATTTTTTAAAATAACATTTTAACTGAATTTTTATTTCATAATTACAAATGGCATAAACATAACAATAACAAATTGGGAAATCTAAAAAAAAAAAGGGATACGTTTCTAAAATAATTCCTGAAGAAAAGTTGGTTTACCTATGAAAGAGGAAAATCTCTATTGATATATGAAGAGAAAAAGGATCATACGGTGTCAAATGTGGGATGTAATTATTCTTACAATAAAACCAGTTGCTGAACATGTTGCTATCAGGATGAAATACAGGATTATTTTAATTGGTATTATTTCTATAGGATTAGCAATGCGTATAAGAAAATTAAAAATAATTCTTTTTAAGAAGATTCTTGCTTCCCTTATCAAATCAGGGAATTAATCACCTATCCATATTCTTTGACGCTTCTGAATATATTTTGTGACTGAAACCACATATACTTTTTTACTCTTCATCCAGATAACTATTACCTAATGTCTTCTAAGTGTTTCGCTAAAGCTACTGAAAGTTAAACATCATTTGTTCTGGATTCTTGATTTTTAAACAAGTTCAGCAGAGAAAAAAATTAGGCATTTTGAATTATAGCTATTTTCAGTTTTTGCCAGTTATTTTCAATTATTTATTGTTTGCAATTTTTCTCTTAACCACTCATCTGCTCAGTGCTTCTCTGAAAATAATGTACATGACAAGGGCTGATTATCTTGTCCTGCGATGGTATTTTCATTAACAACCAAATGATACTAAGATATTTGCAGTGATTAATCATGTGTATTTGGGATTATATACCACTGATTTCAGATAGAAAACATAATTTATTTATTTCATAAAAATGGAAACAGATGTCATAGTGCTCCCTGGCAGTTATAGACCAAATAAAAACAAATGTTAAAAACATTGTTATCTCTGTTCAAGAAAAATGTCCTTTTTTGGCTTCTGTGGTATGAATGTTTGTTCATGTGTATGTTATATTAAAAAAAACCATCTCCACTTCTGAGGGAAGGTAGTTGAGAAGCTGGTACACAACAGCTTCAGAAGGCCTTGGATGAAGTGGATTATCTGGATCCTTTTCAGTCAGGATTCAGACCCGGGTTTGGAATGGGCCTGGCACTGGTTGCACTTGTGGATGATCTCTGGTGAGGGCAGGATGATGGTTGTGTATCCATCCTCACCCTACTTGACCTCTCAGCAGCTTTTGATGCCATTAACCATACTATCATTCTGGATCAACTCGGAGGATTGGAGGTGGGCAACATGGTATCACCTTCTTTTTTTCGGATCAATTCCAATCCGTGGTGTTATGGGGAAGGGAAGAAATCTTCCCTCAGCCTTTATTATGGAAGGGATGTACAAGGGATGATGCTCTCTCTATGCTCTTATTTAAAATGTACATGAGGCCATTGGGTGAGCTTGTCCATTGCCATGGGGTGAGGTATCATCAATAGGCAGACAATATCCAATTATACATCTCTATCGCTGGCGAATTAAGTGATGGTCTTAATGTCTTATCCTAGTGCCCGAAAGCTGTCAGGGTCAAGCTTCAACTGAATTCTGGCAAGACTGAGTGGTTTTGGTTCTGGGACAGTGCTACTTTTGGTGCTGGATGGGTGAATTCTTTGCCGCAAATAGACCTTGTGTGCACTCTAGGCATTCTCTTATACTCACAACTCCAGCTTGAGAAACAGGTGGCAGCCATGCCTAGAAGGGCCTTTGCTCTACTTCCTGCTGCGTGTCAGTTGCACCCATTCTTAGATCAAAGGGCTTTACTCACACTCATGCCCTACTCACATCCTGGTTGGACTACTGCAGTGCACTTTCTATGGGGATGCCCTTGAAGATTATCCAAAAGTTTTAGCTGGCGCAGAATGCAACAGTGTGGGTGTTACGTGTGTTTCTAAAAGAACATACATTACTTCGCCTCTCCATGAATTGCATTGGTTATGAGTCTGTTTCTAAATCCAATTCAAGGTCTGTTTTTGACCTTTAAAGCACTACAGGGCATAGGACTGGTTATTTGAGAAACTCCTCTCCCTGATTACATCTGACTATCCCACCAGATCCAGCAGGGAGGGCATGGTGTGGATCCCATTGGCTAGGAAGCTTCTTTTGGCAGCCTAGGAAAGGGCCTTTTTCTGCTGTGAAACACCCCCCCCCCCCCCCATGAAACATTCTTTCGTCCAAAATGAGCTTGGCCTTATCCATTTTAAGTCCCTGAATACCTGGTTATGTCATCAAGCCTGGGGACCCCAGGGTACTGGCGAAATATTGAGATGGCTCCAATGTAATTAACATATGCTCCGCACCATATATGTACAATATATACACATACATATTTTATAATTTTATATTTTTAGTACTAGTATTAATGGGTTTTTTGTATATATTGTTTTTAGCTTTGTTATATGCTGTCCAGAGTCACTTGTCTGAGACATGGATGATAGGTGGCCATACCAATATGATGAATAATACACATGCACACGCACATTCACATATGGTAGGTATAAATGCAGATATAGACAGACATAGACAAAGCTATACACACACACACATATATATAATTTTTAATTGTATTTGGGCCTTGGAATCCCTCCCTGCTTTACTTTGAGATCTCAAAAACAAATGTGACTAGGTTTTAAATAATTGTATTTCAGTTGTGTAGCCTACAGAGGAGCACAGTTGGTATGTATCCCCATTCTAAATGACCCTGGCTATATCTAAAGTGATAATGTTAGACCCATAATTAGACCCATAAATATAAAGCCTCACAAATATCATCCTTCTCATACATTATTTACTTTCGCCCTTTCCTTACAAGGCCAAGATGCAATAAAACTTGTGTGTCAATCTGCATCCTGCCATCTTAAAAGGAAGGAAATTGTGTCTCATTCATGAATGACAACCATCTTTGCAAACCTAATGAATTACAACTCTTTATACTTCCCAGTCAGCATACTTAACTACTACACCACATTGTCATTTAGGGTTTCTAACAGCCCATCTTTAACCCTATGTTAATGGGAATAAATCATATCCATTTCAGTGGCACCTGGGGTCAAGAAAGGATAATGAGGATTGCAAGCTTAAGCAACAGTGTCATTGTTTAAATACATATGTTACTTACATGAGATCAGTTCTTCTTGGAAATAATGGCTTCATGATCCTGTTAATATTGATTTGAATATGGAGAAAAAGCATATAACCAACTGTAATAATTCAACATGAGAAATTTCTCCCATTTCTTTGATCAACATTTAACGTTCTGTCAACTGATTAGTTCATGACATCTGGTAATATACTGTATAAAAAAATGCTTGTTCTGAGGTAATATGTTGATTGAACCCTGCCATAGCATTTGTAAACCATGAATTATGTTCTGTGTATGGTGAAAAGCTAGGTAATCTAGATGTCATTACACAAATTGTGGTTTAGCAGAATTAGTGACTCAGTAATGCTGAAACATTGTTAGTAGTATTTAGGTTGGGCTAACGTATCTGAGAAGTAACATCCAGGCTATTACCAGACAATATCAAAGATGATAAGAAACCCCAATTCTGCTGCTATCTTATAGTTATCTAGATTTTGGAAGTTCAATTAATGTATTGTAGACAACAGATTATAATTTGTCCAAATTCACAGATAATCCAGCAGAAGGGGAAAAGTTCCAGCAGTAACAAGGAGTTAAGTCTAGACATAAAATGAATTCTTCTCTTTAACCAAAGAAAGGCAATTTTGTCAGCAAAGTTCAGGTCTCTATTCTAAATATATATCAACAACAGGAAGTAAGAATTCTGTTAAAAATCTTCTTCCTCTCAGTTATGGGGGGAATTATTTTTCCGATGACACACAATGTTCTACAAGCACAGAACTGTCTTTGGATTTATAATCATCTAATTAACTTGTTAATTAATAACCAGTCTTTTGGTAATTATAATAGTCTGCTTTGTCATTGTTGCAATGTACTTGGCAGTTATTTGGAGGGCTGCAAAGTGGACCTTTTAAATTATTTTTATGGTTTTGGTCGCTTAGTCAGCCAGATGTTTAGATTAAATTTGGCATTTTTTTCCATATACGGAGTTTTTTCTAAGGACCTGGGATAGAGAAATGTTGTTTTTGATGGGGTTAAAGGTAATTTAAGGTGTCTTTTACAATTGACTGATGATGATTTTGTCAATGTTGATAGTTTTCAAGTGGTGTGCCAGATGTTCTGGGATTTCA